TGTAGGACTACTCTTTATCTTCCTATTTCTGATCCTTTTCTGCTGGTTTTTCTTACTTTTCCATGCCCTTGAATAGTTATGTAATAGCCTACAGTATACATGGTATTTAACATTATAAGCCAACATATTTCCAAGTACTGCACCACAATTTTATACTTTTTTTACCTTGAAGTGTAATTATTATTCTTTAGCTTCCAAGAAGCAGTTAAGGTATTATCTATAGCTGTACTCTCAAAATTTACTGTTTTGCCTCTAAATGAACTGTTAACCCCTGCACATAAAAAGCAACCCTTGATATTAACTGTTAAATTTGAGCTATAATAATTGCCAATTATATGCTGCTGGGTCTTTCTGTGAAATTCTCTGTTATTACAATATGAAATTGAAAGTTTGGTAGGAATTATAATCAGATGGACCATACAAAATCCAGGGACGTTGAAATCAAATGATAAATATAATGAATCAGATGCCCAGTAAATTTGTTATTTATGATTCACATTATTTTTTATATATTTAAGGATTGATTTTATGTGCTGTACTGTAGATTAATATCTCCTTATTGAAGCTATTTTGCCATCAACCAGAACCAAACTGACAATCCTGTAATTTTAGGATAGGCACATTAATTCCTAAGTCACAATTCCAGTCCTTTAGTCCTCTTAGAGTTTGGTGGGTACATTGGATATGACCAAAACTTTATTTACACCTTTAATTTGCCAATCAAAGGTAAAGATAGTTCAGTATGTCTACATTTTAAACTAACATTAGAGAAATCATGGAAACATGATTATAGATATGTGGAATTACTATTATTTCCATATATAAACATAAACAAATATGAATGATAAAAAATGATTTTAAGTTGTATTTGTAAAAATGGACCAAGGATTGCTGCAAGTGAAATACCTAAAGCCCAACACAGACTATCAAATTTTGTTCGACAAAAACTTGTGACTTGCCTAAATATATGGTCATAATGACATCACATTATGACCATATATAGGCACATAATGACTATATATGGGCATACAGCAGTGTGGATAGAGCATCAACAACAACAACTATTGCGTGATTGCACTATTAATGTTCGTGATGAAATGGCTTAAATTTCTGATGATTAATTGTTATGTTGATCCATTGTTTTTTTCCTGTTGGAAAAACAAGTGATCAATGTTCTACACGTTTATGTCTGTTGGCTGTAAACAACTATCCAGAACCAGAAACATTTGATTCATTTCCTTTAATATATTATCCTATTGTACAACCAGCGTTATAATTAATAGTACCTATAGGTTAGTTAGATGCATATTTACGCTCCTTCATACTGAAAACAAGCAATTATCTTAGGGCATTCTTATATACTAATATACACAATGCCATAGCCAGCTATTGGAACAGTCCCACACAAATTTTCTAATGGGTCCACAAATAATGGGTCCACATTTTTAAAAATGGGTCTGAATTTCTGATATTTTGCCAAATATGTGAAAACCTTTTAGAAAATGGGTCCAGATTTTTCTATAAAATGGTTCCAACTTATAGAAAATGGGTCCACATTATTTGGATTTACGCGCAAAGTTGGTCCACTCTGATATTGTCTCTTGCAGTTTAAAAATCATGGCTACAGCATTGAGTTTAGGATATCATATGTACTATGACTGTTCATCATTTACTCCTTAATGTTCCATCTTTAGCATCTATTGTTTTTGATGATGGAGAGCAGTTCGCTGTTTGTGTTCATGCCTATTCTTTGCTCCTTTCAAGACTGTAATTTTACTTTGCCGAAAAATTATTATTATTATTATTGTTATTCATTCATTCATTTAATCCATCAATCATTTAATTTATTCATTTATCTACTTATTAGATTTGTCATTCTTTCATTCAGTTGGTTATTTATTTATCTATTTCAAACTATTGTTAACAGGAATGCTTTGTTCCCACTTACAGACGAAAATTGCATAGAATAAACATCTAAAATTTACGTATAAAACATTCATCCAATCATTTATTCATTCATCCAATCAATCATTCATTTACTCAAATATTCATTTATTCATCTGTATATTCAATCAATCATTCATCAAATTCAAGCAAATTTTATATTCACATAATAAAAAGAATAATAATAATAATAATAATAATATTAATAATAGTAAGGTAATAATAATAGCTTACATAGAATAATACTGAGATAATTAATAAATTATCTCAATGTATTTTTTCAAAAAAAAAGTCATCATATCAGTTTAAGAAAAGTAAAATAATCATGTGTAACTAGTTGTTTGACCCTGAAACGGCTTCTTTTATTATCTGATCACCTCATCAAGACACTACCAGCTGATTGCAAAGGTAGGAGGTAGCATGCCGGATGTCGTAGCTCTATGATACTGTGCTATCATAGGCTGCGTTTGTGGTTTTTAACTTCCTGAATATTCGACCTCTCGTCATAGATTCTGTGAATCACTATCTACTCTAACTCATTTTGTTGGAGATCTTCTGTGAGCAGTAAGTCTGAGCGATTCTTCTCACTGGTTCTACAATTTCCTTGGGTAATTAACGGTATAAACTCATTTTGAATCATCACAATAGTAATTATTTTAATTAAGTTATTTCATTTTCTTTATTTTTCAGGAACAAAATTTACTTATGAACTTTTCTTTATTCTTCTTATGTTTGACATTCAGCATCAAACTTGAATAACTACTTCATAGTTTTTGTTTCTTTTATTTATGTACTTTTTTATATTCAATTATATTTAGATTGTTAATTTACTTTATATGATATGTACTTTTTAGAACTTCTTTTTTTTTTTTTTTTAACTAATGTATTGCTAAGTATGTTTTTTAATGAAATAGTGGTTTGTAATTATTTTTCAGAATACTTATTTTTTTTCAATATTAGATATTGGGATGTTACAATTAATTTATATAAGTAATATGGAATTTTGTTTGGTAAAAAGTTTTGTTTTTAATATTAGGGAAATAGTATAAGATGGGGTATATAGAAAAAGCTAAAGGTAGTATAATTTTTATAATAATAACTAGCTAAAGGTAGTATAATTTTTAATTTCAAACACCTAAATTTTCGCAATGTTAGCCAAGAAGAAAAAAAAATAAACACATCCTAATCAGTGACCTCGGTCTACAATTGTTACGGTACTATTATGTCGCTAAGCATTATGGGGGTTTTATAATAAGAGTCATTGACCTAAAAGGTTAAATTTTGAATTTTACCTTAGTAATTTTTCTCATTTTATAGTATACAAAATACTATCAGTACATTTTTTGTAATATGTTTTTGTTTGTGAACATAAATAGTTCAGGTAAATACCGCCATTACAAAGCAGATACTATGATTTAAGTTTTGGGAATCTTTTCCGCCTTTAATTTTTGGTAAACAGTGCAGGAAAGGTCTTGGTCGTGTCTAAGTAGGTAAGTATCTAAGGGGTTATTTTTCGTATTAGATGGGTGGTTTTGATTGTTTTCTGTTTCCCTGTTATCGTTGTTATTATTTAGTATGTTTGTACGTACATTAAAGTGCGTAGGCATATATTTTGGTAGGCCTATATTGTTAAATACCATAAAACTATGAAGATTAGCAGGTAAAAGAACAGGTGTAAAACATCATTGGAATAATGTTAATTTAATGAGCTATTTTTAAGTTCAGCGGGTTAAGTTTTTTTGTAACAATTGATTGGAGAGAAACCCTGCTTAGCAATTGGCTCTATCAATGTATTCATGTCATGAAATATGTATGTTTAATGGGAGATTATAGTTCATGCACTATCAAGCCTGATATTCTTCAGGATTTTAACCAGCATCTTTGAAACTGAGATGAGTCATAAGATGGTTTGAGGATTCATTGTTGGCAAAGAAAATTTAATAAGATTAAAAGTTGTTTTCATCGGATACAATAAAAATTTGATGGTTTATGTTTTTCTTACTGGACTTTGTTGTTTGTGTTCTTTATTTGTTTTTGAAAAAATTAATTGGTTTTTTTTTTTACAAAATCCTAAATTCCTTGTAATATTGATATCTCTTCATGGTAAAGAAATTTTTTACTTGCGACGTTTTCGATAGATCGCACCTATTCTTCATCAGGCACTGACTAGAATATTGTTGCTTGTCACCGTTTCTATTGTCAATTGGATGTGGGTCAATGTCTTGTGCCTGTGATGACTGGATGCTCCCGGGGCCCCTGGGAATCATAGGAAAATACTGTATACTACTGTATGTTGTTGCATTATTATTTTTTTATCACTTATGATATTGTTGATGTTATATTTTTTTTTTTTAGATACACATTATTATTTTTTAATTTAAGTTTATTGTCGATTTGTAGCTAATTTGCTGATTATGTACAGTTTTATGTTTAATATTATTTATCAATATTGTTAAATTATATTAATAATATTATGCATTATTATGACCATACATATAAATAAATCTTATCTAAATACGGTGAAACAGAGTGTTGCACGCATTATTTACGTTAATTTGTTGGCTGAATTCTCTTTTTTTATGAACAAGGTAAACGGGTACTGTATATCGCTGATGGTTGATATCGTCATGGAAATTTAAGAGATAGAAAAATAATACAATATACAGTATATTGATTGATTTTCTGATAAACAACAAATAGTTGTTTTTTAATAATATCATTCGTTTATGATTACAGAAACACAATAAGACAAGTGTTGGGAGGTTCATGTACTTGTTGTAATTAATAATACATTCGAGCAGAATTTGATATAGATTACAGACAGATATGTTATAACGGTGTTCGGTTTGGAAAGAACTATTCGTGCTCATTAAACATGGTACGGCCCTCTCTTTGTGCGATTACTTCCACGCATTAGCTCACTCCATCTGTTACAATCTATGCAAACATCAGGCCTAGGTAACTTTCCCAATAATTCAGGATATTCATTATATATTTTACCTGATCTCTATGTAGATATCTAATTTCTGTCTATTTTTTTTTTCGCTTCGCTATAGCAAAATCTACGACAGTTGCCATGTGATGAGGGTTGGCCGCTTTGCCATGATGGGAACATTATAATTCATCTTTGCGAACTAGCGTGCAAGAATTTAAGGCCTGGGGATTTTTATTTTTACGTGAAAGAAGCCAGTGAAAATACGCTGCTTGTGTCTTTAAAATACTACATAAATCAAGAGGCATATGATATACTTTTACCACCGGATTTATTTGATTACGTTTTCACTATGGAGTGGATGGAGAGTGTAAATGCTAATATTCCAACACGTGCAGAATCAAACACAAACTTAGAAAAACTTGTTGTTGGGAACGAAAACGGACTTAAACGCCTTGATTGGAAGGATGTTGTGTCTCCCTCAACCCTTGAACGAAGGTCGAATAGAAAATCAAAAATTCCACGGCCAAAATTAACAGAAAATTCTGCACCACCCTCACCAAAATTAAACAGTAAAATTCCACGACCAAAAGCACAGGTGGTCGATGGCCACGTGAAGGTGCAAAGAAGTGAATCGCTGACAACGCTGAAGCCACAAAGCCCAAAGCGGTATGGAAGTTTACAAAGGAACAGTCAGGATAGATTATCGTCACGGTTACCAAGAAGGGATGGATCATTAAGTCGAAGTGGTAAGCACAAACTTAGATTTTCGTTTTTTAAATTTAAATGATCCTGCATTATCAATCAACATTCATTTAGTATTGCTGAATTTGGTAACATTTCATTGTGCAGATCTATTTCCAAAATTCTGAAATCGGTGTGG